AAGCCGGCAGTTGTCGCTGCCATGGAAACCGCCTCTTTGGCCCCTCCGAGTTCAGATCTCGCAGCGCACAAAAGAGATTTAAATATAATCTTTTAGAGACGAGGGAGGGGGTGGGGAGGGGAAGAAGAGGGGATATGCCCGGCTCTGTTGCCATTCACCCCATCACCGACCTTGGTCTCCAGCGCTCCCTGGGTCCCCACTCCACACCACAGTGACAGAGAAGGGACCACGGAGCGCCCTCCCCGCCTGCACCACGTGCCTCCGCTGGGTCTCCCGGCACCCCGCCTCCCCCCATCTGTCCCGCCCAGGTGTCGCCCGTCCGCCTGCACCTTCTGCAGCTCCTGCCTCCGCTCCCCTTCCTTGGCTCCCCTTCCTCTTTACATTCCCCCAACGCCATTTCCTCATTTCCTGCTGGGTAAGATTTGGGGACCCCTGGCGAGGATCCTCTCTAGTGTCTCAGAATGGGACAACACCGGAAGTTGCCCAGGACCACCGAGGGGAAAATCTTTTTTTCTTTCTTTCTTTTTTTTTTTTTTTTTTTTTTTTTTTTTTTTTTTTTTCTGGAGAGACTCAGTCTCAGATTCCCTGTGTGTGTGTGTGTGTGTGTGTGTGTGTGTTTCAAGACAAGGTTTCTCTGTGGCTTTGGAGTTCGAACTCACAGAGATCCACCTGCCTTTGCCTCCCGAGTGCTGGGATTAAAGGTGTGAGCCACCACCGCCCTGGCCCCAAGGAGGGGAAAATCTTTGGCGGGTTTTGAGGCAGCGATGGGAGTTATGTGGGTGAGACTATGTCTCTTTGGGGAGCCAGGTCTCTGTCCATTTCTTCTCTGAGCTGGATGTGTTACAGACAGGGAAACTGAGGCCTTTGGACAATCTCATTCGGTCTAGCTTGGGCCATGCAGGTTTCTCGGGCAGTTGGAAGATTCCAGAACCAGGCGTCCCTGGAAGCGGTGGAAGGGAACTAACGCACCACCCCAGCGGCCATGGCCCACTCTCCTCTGCTACTTGGACACCACCATGGCTCCCTAGTGCCCTGGCTGCAGTTACAGCCTCTCATTGCCCCCTTACGGGGACCCCTCCCTCCCAGCAGCCCTTCCCTGCCCCTCTTCAAAGCAGATTCCTTCCCCAGTGATCCCGGCTTGTCTCCACAACCCACACCCTTGGCTAGTCAGATGCCCAGAGATGGGACCAGAACCAGAGTATGCACCCTCAGACAGACAGATTAATCACACCATTGGGCTGCAGAATACTACACAGATGTGAAAAGCTCAGAAGATACCTTTAGTGGGGAGGAAGGGGCAAGGGGGTGTTCTGGGAACCACCGGAATGGTGGATGGATCCTTCACGAGTGTGCACATGTGTGTGAACACGATGGGTCCCTCCCAGTGTCCCATGCCCCTCTCTGCCCAGTTCTTGGAAACAGCCGCTTTCCCTGACCCTGGGAATTTTTATGGCCGTTATGGGCTGGGGCTCAGGTCCCCTGGAAGGGGACTGCTCTCAGAGAATCCTGCCTAGATTGGTGGTGGGGGGCAGAGCATCCAGACCCCTGAGGGCCAAGTGAGACCTCTGCTGAGCATTCTCAGTTGGGTGGCCTTCCCTCTCTGAGCCTTAGCCTTCCTGATAGCTGTGCCGATGTGGCATGTGTGGAAACTGAGGTATGGAGGTGTGTGTAGCTGGACACCAAGCCCAGATCTCAGCAAAGACAAGGTTTGTCTTTGATGCAGTGTGACCGAGGCCTCCCCTTCCATCATCACAGAGCCATGCAGTGTCCTCTGTGCCTATCCCCTGGGGATGCATCTTTGGATGGGGGCTCACAATGGTGGGGACACAGCCATAATCCCATGGGGTGGCTGGACTAAGAGTCTAGAACATTCTAACTTGCTCACATCCAGCACTGGCACTGAAGTCTAGAACGTTCTAGGTCACCAAGCACTTGGGGTCTAGAATGTACTGGCTTCCCAGCATCCCACAGGCAGCTGGCTCCAAGTCTAGAATGCTTCCGGGCTTCACTGTATTGCACACTGTAGCCACACTGACATTTCACACCACATGGGTCCTGGGGGGGTGCTGCCTGCTCTTGCCCTCAGCACTGCCTGATCTGGCCCCATGGCTGTGCTTCTAATAAAGCTTTATCATGTGTCCGCAGGGTAGTATGTGCGTGCAGGACTGAGCACAGCCGGTTCTAGAACCAGATGGTGCAGCTTCGGGCACTGTGAATGACAGTTTCCAGTCATTGTAATGTCTGTAAATGTGAAGTTAACACTGACACCACACTTGAGGGGGCTCTCCATTTAGAAAAATTCAGAACATGACTATGTCCTATGTCAACTAGTTCACTTGCCACTGAGAAAACTTCTACCCTGAGCCAGGCAAAGTCAGAAGGCCACCCATGCCTTTAATTCCAGCACTCCAGAGACAGAGGCAAGAGGATTTCTGTGAGTCCGAGGCCCTTTGCTGCTTCCCATGATTTACGCTAAAATGCTGAGAACTGGGAATGCTTTGTAAAAAGTAAAATCTAGTCTTAAAATGAATTTCTATCTTTATTTTTTGTTACCTTTTAATGTTTCTTTCAAAAAATTCTAATAACAGACATGTATGGCCTTAGTTTTTTTTCCTTTTATTTTTTGGTTTATCAAGACAGGGCTCTCTGTGTAGCTTTGGAGCCTATCCTGGCACTCTCTCTGTAGACCAGTCTGGCCTTGAACTCAAGCGTTCCAACTGCTTCTGCCTCCCAAGTACTGGGATTAAAGGTATGTGCCACCACCAGCCAACTAGATTTTTAAGTTAACATTTTTCTAGAACATTCTTATTTCTTCTTGTTCTACGCAGGGTCTGTCCATGGGTACTGTGAGCACACAGCTGGGTTTTTCTCTCTGTGGGTGCTGAGCTGAGTTCCCCGCCTCCATCTCTTACATGCCAGGAGTGAGTCCTTCAGTGTGACCACCATGTAAGCCTGCAGGTGTCACTCACCCTGACAGCATGGGCACTCTTGGGTGAGATCCACTCTCAAGCAGCCAATCAATGAAGCCTCTCAGGTTCCCTTCTCAATCAAACACACCTCATCTTCACACTCTGTGTCTGTCCAAAACATGTGCCTTCTAGACAGCATAATGCTCACACCACGTTAACCCCTCCCTCACACCTGGCTGTTCACACAGTGTCATCACCAGATATCGTGAACTGATTGGTGATGCTTCCCTCACCAGAAAAATCCTACAAATCCACACCCTGACTGAATATTGTCAGCGTGATCATGTTTGGGAAAAGGGTCTTATAGACAAGTGCCACAGAGGAACTTGAGGCAGCCTTGGTCCCCTGTGTGGGGGAAAGGGAGCTATGGGCACACTAACAGTGAGAAGAGAAGCCAGGCAGAGACGCCAGGTGCATCTGCATGAATGGGTAGGGACAGGGATGGGCACCACATCTCCACAGAGGCTTAGGAAGGAATAGGGCATGATCAGCTTTGGAACAGGGATGGATCCCCATGACTGGGAGGTAGTCTGCTCAGTTTTGCTGCGTACCTGGAAGCCATGGTTTCCTCACCAAGCAATGGGTAGTTGGGTGGATGAATGAGTGGGTGGGTGGATGGATGGATGGATGGATGGATGGGTGGATGGGTGGGTGGGAGGGTGGATGGATGGGTAGGTGGGTGGATTGGTGGATGGATGAACAGATGGATGGGTGAGTAGAATTTTGTGAGAGGGAAAGTCTTAAACTGAGGAAATATGACTTCCACAGAGCCCTTACAGTACACACAGGGGACTCGTTAGTATTCAGACATCAGTACTGGCCTGTCCTTGGGGTTCTGACAGGATACACCCTCAGCTGCAGCCACTAAGAGCACCACCTGTGCACATTCACTGTGTTCCCTTCCAAAACTGCCCTGCCCACCTCCCATCCATCTCTCTCTCTTACTCTGTTTGTCTGTCTGCCCCTCTTTTCTTTCTCTCTCCTGATGCCCCCATCCCTGGAGGCCCATCTCTCCCCCTCCCATTTCCTACATAAAACCATCAGTCCTGTGATGCACAGAGCCCGGCATACTAGGCTCCCAAAAGATATTCACACTTAGTCCCTTGTTTTCTATTATTCTGAGTGCAGAGGTACAGGGACACCCGGGGGTTCCCTACAGTGGAGAGTCTCCTCCACTCCACAGATGACTCACCCCCGGCAGGGTCTTCTGCTCATGCAAGGCTGTCTGAGCTTTGATGGCGGAGTCCCTGGCGCAGTATGTGAGGAAGGCACAGCCTGAAGAGAGAGACAGTGTGTGAGGAAACCCAAAGGTGGGGCAGGGCAGCCCTGGTGTCCAGGGCAGTGGAAATTCCCACCATTGTCGAGTCACACCAATGGAGTGTCACTCAGCCGTAAACATGTTTGAGGCTTCAACAACCCACAGCAGAAATGGGCCTTGAGGCCACCCAGCCAATCACAAAAGGCCACGTAGTGTGGACTCCAAGAAAGGAAATGCCTGAAACAGGAGAAAACAGGCACAGGAAGTAGATTTTTGGGTGCTGAGGGCTGTGGAGAGAACAGGATATTGGATCGTCAGGAGGTCAGAGCTTCAGGTTGGGGAGATGGTGAGGAGCTGGGGAGGTGGAGGCAGGAGGATCCCTGGGGCTCTGGGTTCAGTGAGAGCCATAGGCGGAGCCTGGAGGGCAGCAGCTGAGCAAGTCCTCTGAACCGTGTGTGTGCCAGAAAAGTAAGACTTGGGGCCCCTCTAACCCACCCATCTTCCCATGCTGTTCTGGATACAGAGCTGACCTCCCAAGGTGAAATTGCAAATCTGATGTGGTTGGACTGGAACCTGCAAAAGCCACCATGAAAATGTAACCTGGACAGGATTGGACCAAACCAAGCCCTCTGAATGTGGTGCCAGCTAGGAGGCCAAGACACTCTATAGGACTCTAACCGTGGAGCCAGTGTTTATCCCTAGAGCACAAATGGACTTTGGGAGCCCATTCCCTATGGAGGGAAACTATTGCAGCCCAGATACAGCAAGGAGGGCCTAGGCCTCCCCTTCCCTGGGGAGGAGTGGGGGTGGGGAACATGGGAGGATGGGAGGGCGAGGGAATGGGGATGGATATGCAAATATGAGTGGTAAAAAAATACAAAAAAAAAATGACATGAAGTTGGGAGGGAGTGGGAAAATGGCGGATGGATGTAGGTGAATATGACAAGTACATTTTATGAAATTCTCAAAGAACTAATAAAAATATTACCAAAAAAAAGAGAAAGAAAATGTAACCCGGTTGATGGATGAATGGCTGACACATGGGCCGTGCTCTTCCACATGGTGAGATATTACAGAGCCCTGAGAAGGAGAGCTCATGTCCTGCCCCCAGAAGGATGGATGCCAGGCTCCTGAGTTCAGCAGAGGGTGCACAAGGAGGATGGCAGGCACTGCTGAGTCCTAATTTGGTCACTTCCATTGACAAATTCACACATGGGAAGGGGGGTGGTAGGTGCTGGGTGGAGGGGGGCAGGCAGAGGGCAGAGGAGAGTCAGTGTTTCACGAGGGCTATTTTCAGTTTGGGAAGATGGGGACTCACAGCAGGGCCCAGCTGGGAAGATCTCCATGGTTGGCCCTGGCAATATTATTTTAACTGACATCATCATCACAAACCCTTTTCTAAGACAGGGTTTCTCTATGTAGCCCTGGCTGTCCTGGAACTCACTCTTGGATCAGGCTGGGCTTGAACTCAGAGACATCCTCTTGCCTCTGCCTCCACTGGGGTTTATGGCATGTGCTACCAATGCCTGGTCTCTGAGAAAGGTCTACCCTGCAGCCTGGAACTCATTGCCATAGACCACAGCACCTGGGAGTTCGAGGTCATCCTCAGCTACATACAATTCAAAACCAACCTTGTATCAGAAACCAAGAGCAGAAAGAATAGGAGGGAGGGAGGAGGAGTGGAGGAGCCGGCAAAGACAATTACCCGGGCCGCTGTCCACGGTGCTGAAGCGCGTCTGGGGAACACCCCTCCCAGCCGGTTTCGCCCCAGTACCCCTCCCCCAGCTCTGAGCTGCACTGGTCTGGCAAAGGCTTCCTGTCGTGTTACCAGTTGAACCCGAACACTGGGCTGTCACCCCACTCAGAAAAGATCCCTGTTATGTTCCTGGGCACCAGTGCCCCTAAGTCTGCACACCTTAAGGCCACATGTGCAGAGGCCGGGGGACAGCTGTGAGTGTGGTTCTTCAGGAGAAACCACCTTGGTTTCTGAGGCTGGAGCTGGGGCTGCACTGATGCCCCCCCCATTTGAAGTCAGTGCTGGGTCACATGCCCGCTCGTCCCCTGTTGGACAGAGGGTGGTGTCATTTCCCCCTACTTAGAAAGAACAAGACCCCAGGCAACTGGGCAGTGCTGAGCTTTTTGGACTGATGAGACATACAGCCTGAGCTGAGGATGTCCAGGGGACAAGCGGAAGAGGCCTTGAAAGCCAGAGCACTGGGGAGCCATGGAGGGTTTCTTCCTCGATGGTTAACAAATCCACCCCCAAAACTACTGCGCAGACTTGAGGTGCTTCTGTGTGCTCATGTCACAGCAGAAACCCCCTACCTCCACTGCTCAGGAGTCATACACTCCTGGGTGGTGTTTGAAGTGAACCAAGGCTCAGAGAGGCATAGCAGCCTCCTCAAGACACACAGTAAGTCAAACATCTGCCTTTGAGCTGGGAGTTGGGGGTGAACAACTGGAGGATTCCCAAGACTCAGAAAATTCCAGCATGTTGAAGAGGACTACATTAAATGTGTTCATTATCTATTTGCCTATGGGCACCCTGGCATGCCTGTGGGGGCAGAGGAATATGTTCTCTCTGGGGACCCATTAGGCACTGGGTAAAGGTGGTTCTGAGCAGCCTGATGGTGCTGGGAACTGAATTAAGGTCCCTGAGGTCACCTCTGAGCTGCTGAGCCATCTCTCCCAACCACCTTATTTTGGAAACAGGTCAACTCTGTAGCCAAAGCTAGCCTTGATTGGTGATCCTCCTGCCTCAGCCTCCTGAGTGCTGGGATCACAGATGCCCAGAGCTGAACACTCACTTATAGCAAGAACAATGTCCTGTGACTCCACCTGGCACTGCCCTGTCACCAAGAAGACAAGCTAAGTGGCCCCCACCCACATCCGTGAACACACGCTCACCCCCAGTTTGTACCCCCTGAAGCAACAACCAGAGGTGCCAGTGAACACAGAATCATATCTTTCTACCCACAGCCCTCCATCGCTCCCACCTCCCTCAGGGTCAAGGCCCAACCAAGTCCACCCTGCAGCCACAGGCCTGCCTATCCATTCCCTCCGCTCCTCCAACACAAGCTCCTTCCTTCACCAAGACCTGAGCAGAGGCTTTGGTCAACATAGGACATCATTCCTCAGATAACAAAATGAAGTCTTCACCCCAAACCTTCCAGAATCCTACCTCTGACACCTCCTCAGTGTCTGCATGAGCCCCATTTCAAGTGCTTCACACTTGACCCCAGGGAACGCTATGGTGACAATGACTTCGTCTCCATGAGATCTGAGGACAGCCCCCTCCCACCCACCCATCAATCCACCCATCCATCCATCTGCCCGCCCGTCCATCTGTCTGTCTGTCCGTCCTTCCACCTCCATGCATTTTCCCCAAACAAAGCCAGTCCTTTCTCTCCAGCCCACACTCAATCTCTCATGCAATCCTGACCAATCTAGCACACAGTGGTCTCCTCCCTGTGGAGATTTCCTAGGCCCTTGTACCTCTGGGCCTTTGCAGATGTTGTTCTCTGCCTCAAGAACACTTTCCTTTACCTGCAAATGCCTCTAGCTGGGGTGCTGAAGCATCGTCCACTCTGTGAGCCCAGGCCTTGTGCCCAGAGTCCACTAAAATCTACACCACCCTGGAACCTTTTCCAGTGGCAGCTTCTGAGATAGATGCTTCAGACCTTTCTTAGGTAGCCAGGGAAACTGAGACACACAGCTGGGTGGTGTCACGAGAAAGCACCTGGTTGTGGCCCAGAGACAACGGCTCCTCCCACATCTGTGCCAGACCATGCATCCCCAAGACTGCTTGCCACTTCTAGGCTCCATATTCCCTCCTCCTGCCACAGACAGCCACTGCTGCTCCCATGGCAACAGTAGGCCAGCCCCCCACCCCCACCCCCGCACAGTCCTCTAGAATGTGCTAGTCTACGGCAAATGCCATCATTAACATGGAAATGCACATGGCATGCAGGGCTAGTGAGGCCCCAAAGGTGACCTGTCCTCCCTCAGAGGTGGGGGCAGAGGGACCCCCCCATGTCATTTCTCAGGTTCTACCTTGAGCCCTGGCTCAGGGAGGCCTTCACACTCTGAATGGTTCCAGGAGGGTCACAGAGGGTGCATACGCTCCATCTCTCCTTCTCCATGTCCTGCCCCGTTTCTGTGCCTCTCCAGCATTTAGGGACCTAGTCCACTCTGAGATTCCACCCTTGCTGTTGTCCTGCCCCGTTTCTGTGCCTCTCCAGCATTTAGGGACCTAGTCCACTCTGGGATTCCACCCTTGCTGTTATGGGTTATCTTGAAGGTGCACCCCAGCAACAAAACCACTGAAATATTTATGGTAGGTCCCAGGTTCTTGGCTCTGTGCAAGAGTTCCCAGTTCCATTCATTTAATCTCCATTGTCCTGAAGCCAAGGAAGGGGCGATAACAACACAACAGAGGTCCAAAGAGATCTACCTCTCTTGAGCCAGGGCCTCAGGTAGTCCTGAACTTTCTGTATAGCTAGGATGACCTTGCACTCCTGATTCTCCTGCCTGAACACCTCAAGTGTCTGGTGACAGGTGTGTGCCACTGTCCCTGGCCTCCAAATACAGAGCTCCATCAAGACCTTGAACCTTCCTTTGCTGGCCTGTTGGATCCCCAATTCCTCACTGGAGTGGGGCCTGGCAAGCTGTCATCCTCTAGTCACTGCCAATCAGACCCTCCCCAGACCCTCTGCTGCCCAAATTCCCACCTCCCAAGCAATGTCCTAAAATATCAAGGCCCTGCGACCCCTGCATCTACCAGAAAGAAAATAGTTCCAGGTCCTGGGTGCCTTGCAGCCACACTGTCTCCTGCCTGGAATTCCCAGGGGAGATGAGGGGCCCCTGTTCCAGCACCGGTGTATTATCCAGTAGACCCAGGCCTCACCACTGCCCCCCAACCCACAACTTGGGGTGCCAGGCAGGCAAGCCTTTGGGTTCCCATCAGAAGTTTCTAGAAATGAGTACTTAAGCCAGACCCTTGTTTTGGGGTCCGGTTCATGAGTAGGAAATAAATTCCCAGTCTCACATGTTTGAGAACAATGTTGGTTGAGAAAAGCGCTGGGGTGTGAAGGGGATCCTCCTTGCCCAGGTCCAGACCAGCCTCAGGCCAGATAACAGCCCCAGGACCGTGCATTCCTTCATCGTCAGTCATTCTTTCATGCATTCATTCATTGGTCCATCCATTCACTCACTTGTTCGTTCATTCATTCATTCATTCATTCATTCATTCATTCATTCATTCATTCATTCACTCACACACTCTCTCATTCATTCCATAGGCAGGTACAAGCCCATCCAGGCGCTAAGCCCTCCCCATCATGGGGTCTGGCCGAGGATGGAGACCGTGGTCTCAACCTTGGGTCCCTCAACACCTGCCAGCACAGTTGGTCAAAGCCACCAGATTCAGACACTGGGGCCTGGGACGGAGCAATGGGGCGACTCTGCCCCCCAAAAGACTTCATGGGAGGGGGAGCCAGGCTCTTGAGCCACCTGCCAGCAAAACCACCCACGCACATCCTCATCACCCAGGATCTAGGCTCTGCCCCCCTACCCCGGACCCCACATGCATTGTCTTGGCCTCAGCTCTGGCTCCTCCGCTAGGTTCCACTTGAGCCCAGCCAGGGTGGGCGCAGGGGCTCGGGAAGATGGCACCACCCAGGGAGGGTTGCCTGGGCCGCAGCCTCAACCTCACATCCCCACGTCTTTGTAGTTACCGCTCAGCCCGGGGTCCTGGACATGTGTCCCGCCGGCCGGGCCGCAGAGCTGAGCTGGCGCGGCTTTGTGAGCAGGAATCCGGGTCCCGAGGTGGCAAGTTCCTGGCTGGGCCAGAGAGACCCAGAGCAACGGGGGACAGGGTGGGGGACAGGGGGGAGGGAGTCCCTGGAGCTCCTGGCACAGGGAGGATGGGTGGTGGTGGTCTGGGAATGGGAGGGAGAGGGGGAGAGAGGAAGATGCCCGGAGAGAGGAGGGATATGGAGGGAGATGACGGAGAGCAATGGAGGAGGAGGGAGTGGGGAGGAGGGAAGGAGAGGGGGCGGAGGACGGGAGGGTGCAGC